TTATCAACAAAAATTTCGAGCGCACGTTCCCATATATCTCTCTCAGTTGCAGCTGGGCACAGACTAAACAAAAAACCCACTTTTCATACCAATATTTAATGAATTAAACCGTGTAAGCACGAAACCGAATTCTGAAGTGAACTCTAACAAGAATTTTTTAATATTATTTATTGTGCTTTTCAGTTGTTTTTTTTTTTTTTTTTTTTGCTTTTTAGATTTGAAACCTATTTTGGATGGATATTATTTTTCTATTTAGCCAATATTTTTTTTTACACGAATACGTGTTTTTGTTACCAATCCGGCCATATCAATATGCTATGTTAGAGACATTGGAGAGAACATCTTATGCTTCGTTATCGCGTCACTTTTGCATTTAATAGATTGATTAGAAACAAAAACTATCACAAAAGCCAACATTTTTATGTTCCGCTTATTTATTACATTTTATGCTTCATTGCCAAGAATATAAGCATCAAATTTGCCTTATCCCGTTTGTGACATGTAACACATATATATTCTCTTCTCCAACAATTCAATCATTTCGATTTGCATGTGGAGATGGTAAAAAGTTGACATCGTAAGCTAAAATAGGTAAAAACTTCATATTAGATACAAGAAAGTATCCGCCCACACCGCGAACCGGAAAAACATTAAATAATCGCAAAAAATAAATTTAACTGAATAAAAATCTGCAGCAAACAATATGTAAGGTTATGTAATAATGATTTCGACTTATTCGACAAAGGTAGCCAATAGGTGTACTGAGGATTCGCTTTAAACTTTTCATAAATATGCTAACATAAATAGGAGAGATGTGTGGATCGCGAAGCTTCACAGAAACTTGCTAATCGCCTATCATGATAATTCCTAAACACTTGAAACTTATAGAAATTATTATTACCAAGAAGACGGACTATTCAGTAGCTAAGAGGTTCAGCAATCGGACGAGAGTCAATGTAGAAAAATGGTCGAGCAGAAAATTTTAATTTCTTCTCCTCCGCAGAGAAGTCTCAGCTGAGAAGTTCTGCAAAACTATTTATATACTTCCTTAAGTGCTTGCATATGTGAACTATTCACTAGTAGTTCAAGTTCAACAAGTTCATCAAACTTTTGGGTCAGAAGTAATTATCTCCGTATTATCACCGTGCATTACATTAAATAAGAGAATAAATTTAAGCCAAATTGCTATATGCAGCTTGATCAACCAATGTCCCAAAAAATGTATTCACTCGAACATATTCCAAGCATAACCGCAGACACCTTACATATTACAATCAGTCAAAAGCGTTTTTCTTTGATCTTGATAACTTTGAAAATATCATTATGTGTAATGCTTCAGACTATTGACTTTGATGCATAGTTCCAGGAATTACGATAACAACGATAGTTAGTCTCTCAGCCAGACAGATTGCCAATTCGGACCAAACAATAACAATAGTGATGAGGAGGAAAGACCAATAAACCCAATTAATTACTGATTTTTGATAAAAAAAATTTTTTCAGAATAGAGAACAAATTACAAAAAAAATAAATAAATAAATAAAAATGTTTACTCCAAGTCTCAAAGACAATTGCATCAAATGAACATTTACTTATATTTTTAATTTTTTATCTATATTTAAATTCTTTTAAAACATTTTAAATTAACTTAAAAAATATCTTCTACTCAGTACAATGCTAATGCTTTTAATTTATTAATAATTTTTTAAATTAATTTTTTTAATGGCCCTGCCATCTGTAGTAACGAACTTATTCTTAAATAATATTAAAATTGGTTATCATTACCTGTAAAAATATATATATATATAAAAATTAAATAATATAAAAAAACTATTTCATCAGTAAAAAAAATTGTACAAAAATAAAATTATAATAGAAACAAGAATATAAATCGTCTCAATACGAAAATCTTTTTTTTTTTCATTTTTTTTTTCTTTTTTTTTTTTTTAACTAAAAAGCCGCATTCATTTTTTATTAGAAGCAACAATTTCACGTGTAAATATATATATAAATAAAATCATGGGGTTAAATAGAGCTCAGGGAGATTCTTTAATACTATAGGCATGTTACTTTTTGTTTCTTGATAATTGAAAAAAAAAAGAAAAATCCGTAAATTGTGATAAAACACATATTTACAACCGCATGCACGCACGCGCCCCATATCACACTAACACCCACGGCCACAGACACACACAAATACATACACACCAACACATATACATAAAAACATACATACACACATTCACTTATACTTATAGATATATATATATATATGAGAATTGCAGGCCCTAACACAAGATGAAGTTAATTTTATTTCATTTTTTAGTATTCGTACGTAACAAGAAATGAATCAAAAATGAAAAGAGGTGCAAAAAGTTGCACTATCTGAAATTCTATATGATTGTATATCTATTCTAAATATTAATTCATAAAAGACAAAAATACTAGAAAACCTTCAGAGAAACGTAGTCAGAGTATTAATTAATAATGTGATTATCGTTAACGTTTACGTCTGAACTTCCACGTTTATAAAATCGTCTCGCTCGCGTGGTACGTAGAAGGCTGCTAAAGTGCACTCCCATACTTCGCTTGGATATTCCCATTCTACATTGAATGACCATTGCTTAGTATCCAGATCATAACACTGCACAGCGGTGGTAGCACGATTAATGGTAGCCGATGATAATAGGCCGCCTATAAAATAAATACGTCGTTTAACTGCGGCCACTCCAGTATAATATTTTGGCATTGGATTGGTCGTTTCAGTAGACCAACAATCTTTATTCACATCGTAAACATCAATTGTTTGTGCCAAGCTCCGTGTTTCGGTTAAAGGATCTTCGTACCAACCTCCGCATGCGTATATGTGCTGATCTAAAGCTATGAGTATATGATCAGCCCGAGGTGTCGGCATAGACCGAAGTTTAATCCATTTTTCAATATGCGTATCGAAACACCATAAAGATACCAAGACTATATGGCGGTCAATGCCACCTGTAAACGACATTTTGTTAATTTTTTTTTTTTTTGTAAATAACTTTCTCGTCCTTGCCTTACCTGAGATATATAGTCTATTGGCTAATACTACTCCAGCATGCTGACTGCGATTCTCAGATAAAGCCGGTAAATACTCCCAGCGGTCAGTGGTGGCATTATAACGTTCGCAATTCGAAATAGCCATGTCGTTGCCCCAGTTTTCAACATCACCACCATCGTCATTATCGTTAAGTTCGCAAACACCACCGACTGCATATAAAAAATTACTGCCCATTGCGTTCAACGAAAAACGGCACCGATCTGCTTGTATTGGTGCAATATTTTTCCATTTATCTTTGGTAGGACAATAACGGAAACCAAAGGGGTGAATGTACTCTTTAAGACAAACATCGTAGGATCCACCAACTATGTAAAGATCATTACCTAGTACGGCGGTGCCATAATTGCCTGTAATCAGCATAATTGATGAAATCATCATAAAAAACGGCGGTGCCTTTCACTTACATTGTTCTATATGAGGTATGGCAGTTAAGCCTTCCCACTTGCCGACCGACGGTAAATAGCAACTTATTTGATTAGTTAAGCCACTAGTTTCAAAACCGCCTATTTTGACTAAAGCTAATTCCATGCCACGTGAATTTGTTAAGATATCGGTGGATATAACTTCATTTTCACTTTCGCTGCCAAGCATTTTGATTTGATTTTGCTCATGTTTATTAATTTCTGCACGTATCAACTTTACATAAGTTTTATTCTCTTTATCTTCGTCCTCCAATGTACTGAGCAAGGTTTTTAAAGCACTTGCTTCTATTTGATTAAAACGCACATGAGAAAACAGTAAATGTGCCAGCTCTGCTTTGAGACCAGTTTCCACACAATATTGTGTTGCAATTTGCAAGACTCGCTTTTCGGAACAGTCGACAGGATAATTACAGCTCAATATGTATTCTAATTGATCCCAGGTTAAGTTGAGAAGATCGGCGGTTAGTGAAAATTCGTCTAAACGTGAGCAAATGAAACGATAAGTTTTACGTTTTAGAGTGTCCAGGGCATATAAATCGGCTAAAACAGCTATAGCTACGCAATTTTCTAAATCGATTTGGGATTCTAAATAATTTGAGCAGGCTTCGATTACTGCCTTCATTTGGACGTGTGTGGAAACCGAAAGAACATCTTGAACATTGTTGCGATCAAGTTCAAGTTTTGAGGTGTACGCGTATTCTATTAATAATTCAATGCCACGAGCATTAACCCCATTCAATTTAATTTCCGATTGACGAGCTTCACGCATGGCATCAGTGAACATGGCGCAAAAATAATCGCTGCATGCTGCTAATACTACACGATGAGCCTAAAAGTAAATCGCAAGTAAAATTGAAAATTTAAAGGTAACTATATAAAATGGCTTTCATTTTACACATCGGAAAATGATTATAACACCGACCTTAAATGTCTTACCCTCGACAATAAGGGTAACGTCAAACAACTTGTCGGCGCATCGTAAGGCATTAAGCCCATGTAACAAAGCCTCTGAGTGAGAGGCCAAGACAAAATTCGGAGCATTACGTGAATACGTTGACGATAATAGTTTAGAGATAGCTGCAGACTTATTAGAATGTTGTTCAGGATTGCTGCGTAATACGGAAGCAGCTCCGCCTGCCATATTCAAAATGCTTTTACCCTCTTTTAAACAGTATTATCATATAAACGCCTATAAAATACAACCAATACAATATATATAAAACATAATCTATACGTTTTTAAATATATACTTGTGTTATTTATACATATACTTATAGAGCTTATCACACTTGCCTTGGCCAAGGTTAGGAAACTCCTCGTTTGTTGATTTTTATTGCTTACTCACTTACTGCGTTGACTGACCCACTTTGCATATAAGACTCTTATCGCTACGAACATTGACTGACTGACGTCGTCTACTTAAGCGCGATCACCTTCAAGGCTGATTATTTGTTTTTGTTCGTTTTTACTAATTGAGAAAGAGAAATCTGAAATATTCACTTTAATCAAACTTTCAACTCCTGGGAGCTAAGTAAACTCTTATAATTTATTCTTTTAGTACCTATTCTATTCCTTATTGCTAGACGATGAACTTGTCTCAAGTGACCTGTTTTTATCAAAACTTCATAAGAGTTTGCTAATTTTATTAATTCATACATTTATTATGACTATCAAGAGACAATAAGAGAGAGCAAGAGGCAATAGCCATCAAAGTTCCGTTTAACATACTTACTACACAAACTTTTTTTTATGTCCAATTTCAATATTTTCTGTTTCTCAGTTAGAATTTATTTAACATCTGCACAAAAAACTTGCGAAATTACTTAAAAATTCTTTCCGCTACTATTTTTTTTACAATTTGATAAACATGACAAATGGAAGAATATTTCCTCCTTTTATAAATAATTTCTTTCTTTTTTTTTTGGATGTTGAGTTAAGATCGGCCAAGCCAACAAATTTTTATTAATAAAATTCTAATAAGAATTGTTTAAAAATGAAAAATTATTTTTCTACAAAGAAAAACTATTTTCGTTTCCTTTTTTACTTCGAGCGAGAGTTACCGATTTTACGCTCCGGATTGCCTTCAGTAGATTATATTCGTTATATAGGAATAATTTTTTTGCTGTTAAAAAAGGCATCTTTTTTTTAATACCTAAAAAAGCATTAATGTATGCTTATTAGATTGTCTTATATGAGTCTGCATGAAAATAACAAACAAGAATGCAACGAGATTATACGAACATTTTGTAGGTGCGCGATCATTCCTTTTACCACATGTTGAATGTTTTATTTTCAATACTGTCGTTTAAATTAAAAACATTATTTTATATGTTATTAATTTGAGGTTCTCCGGAAACTTTTTTTGTTTTAGCCTCTGCGTAAAATACTTGGGTGCAGTTTACAAACAATTGAAAATCTTTTCGTTTAAATTGATTTTTACATAAAATTTTCAAAATTTTACTTTGAAGCTTTGGCAATAGCTCTGATATCGATGTCAGCGCCTACTTTATATTTCTAAAGAACTTCAATAATTCTATTTTTATTAATTTTTTAAGTTGACTTACTCGTATATAGAATATAATATATAGAAGTTTATAAAAACAATTCTAAAATATATTTTTGACGACATTTGCGACATTTGGTTTTCAATGCATAGTTCTACCATAAGTGAAGGTTTTCAAAACTCAGCATAATAAATTCTGCTTATAAAAATTAATCTTTACCACTGTACAATGGTATTCAATAATTTTTATAATAACGAGACGAAAAAAATTTTAATTAAAATTTAACGCTACCTATATCTACATTGAAAAAGTTTTCTTTTCGTTTTAATTGTATTTTGCTTTAAAAAAATTCTAGAAATTTTTGCTTTTTTAATTTAGCGAAACACAGTCATGATATGCAGTTGCTAAGTACATTAATGTTTCTAAACTTTGTTCAAATGTTTGTTATTTTCACTTGCGTGGCATAAAAATACCAAAATTGCTTTACCGGTTGGCGTTTGTTTATTGCTGTTCAGAGCACATTTATTTGAACATTAAGACGAAAATCGCATACAGAAACGCTTAGCATTTTAATTAAATAACGAATGTCTAGTTTTCATAAAGAAGGCGCAAGCCTTGGTTGCCTAAAATCCAGTCGTTTGTGTATTTTACCTCTACGCGAACTTCAAGGCAATTTTTGTGTGGTAATTAATTGAGTTAGATGATTTGGCCTCATTTCCCAAGCATTAACTTTCCTCCATGCAGCAGGACTACTACCCTGAAATTAATTTATGTTGTGATGGTTTTAATACTTCCACTCAATCGTCAAGATTTGTGGACACTTGGGGCAACGTTTTGGTGCCGGTAAATGAGGGAGTGTCGAAGCGTATCATACGTACGTTTTTCGAAAGTGGCTTCAAAGATGCTCTTAATGAGGCGAGAAATAACGAGGCCGTAGCGTACAATCCTATAATTTCTTCAATTGCTGAGTTTGCATTTAGAGCTATGAAATTTATGCAAGATTGGAAAAATAAAATTTTTCCGCATATGGAAGAGCAAGGCATTGCTAGCGTAGCCACCTATTCGGAAACCAGGTAATCTTTCTACTAGAGCGCACGAAGCTAGTAGAAATTTATTTACTTAAATTTTATACAATTAAAATTAAGAACGTGAATAATTCAACTAAGTCCGCATGTGCTGAATTTTAAACATCTCATGAAATTTACGTTTTCATACTCACCCCGTAAAATTAGCGCTTATATTATTGACTAGTAATAATAGGCGTTTATAATATGCACAAAATAACATAGGTAATATCACCTATGTTTCCATCCATTCTATTATGGGAAAGTAGTCGATTTGAAATTTAGCACAATTATTTACAAAGCTCTGTAAATGCCTTAGCAGAGCATTACGATTAAGATATGGTTGAGCTTGGAAGCTTGTAGGAAATACAAAATATATTTGCGTATACCTAACGAATTTATATAAAATTAGCTTACAAATACATTTAAGTTCAGCTTTCCAGAACTATATTTACCAAACTTCTCAAATTTGTTATTTTAGCAAATATAGGAAAATGATTACATTCCAGTTGCCGTTGCATCCAAACCAAAACATTTCAAAGATATTCATCTATATCTCGCGAATCTATGTGGAAGTGCGTTTTGAATGAGCTAAAGAAATTCGAAATTTTCATTACATTGACAAATGTCTCGTACATCGATGCCTGACTTTTACGCAACCTTAGTCTACAAAGTGCTTCAATATAGTCATGTCTCTGGGTCATAAGTCTTAAAATCTTCATTTTTAAGATGGATGGCCAGAATGTTACACACATATTTACAAAGAAAAAGACGCTATATGCAACTTTAGCGAATTTGTTAACATTCACAGTTTATTTTTATGCAAGACGATTTGTTTATAATTTATGCATTTACCTATGGATTTCTGCCAAATCTGAAAGAAATATCTAAAATATTATATGTAAAATGTACACGTTCATCAGCAATCGACAAAAGATAGGAGAGAGAGAGGCTTATCTTTATCTTAGCCTAGATGTGAGGCAATGGATTTTTTCGACTGAAATTGTTTATTTTTATATTTCAGGGACTGGATAAGAGCGAGCGTACGATGCATTGCATGGCATCCAAATTATTTTAAAATTGCTGTTGCTGGCGTGGATGATCTTATACGCATTTATACAGACCAGCCGGCCGTTGTGCCAATATTGAAGGTAATTGTAAATATCTAAATAATATTAGTAACAAATGTTTGAAATGAAAATTTTCACGTTAATCGTAAAAAACAGGGAACAACACAAAAGTGGATTGCCTGCATGGCTTGGCGGCCTTTTACTGCAGCCGAATTAGCAGTAGGATGCCAAAGGGGTATTTGTTTGTGGGTAATGGACAATAATATGCATATAACGCGTTCGCAATCGCAAGCCGTATTCTTAAAATAGTAGGTCTTTTGAAGCTTCATTAAAATGCATTTTTACTTTAAAATTAATTTCAATTCCCAGTAATAATCATTATCCTATTACCTCGGTGCAATGGAGTACAGATGGTAATTTACTGGCATCAGCTTCAATTGGCAATACTGATATTATACTGTGGCATATCGACAAAATGCAAAGTATTGCCTTGAAACGTGTAGGACCACCTTGTTCTTTATTAAAATGGTCGCCAGATGGTTCTTGTTTATTTAGCGCTACACTTGGCAATGTCTTTCGCGTTTGGTATACTGAAAGGAAATGGCAGCCAGAACGTTGGACTGTATCGAAAGGTCATATACAATCAGCCTGCTGGTCACCCTGTGCCAGTTTTCTATTATTTGTTACCTCAGAGGAATCAATACTCTATCGATTACAATTTGTTGAGGAACAGTTATTTAAATGTAAGTTAAATTTTTAAATATTGTTAAGCCATCCTTAGGCAGTGAAGATAAGCAAGTTATATTGGATAATAGATAATTTGTTTATTTTTTGCTTTGTCTCTGTGAGACAAATCTGCCCATAGAAATCCCTTCTTTTTTTTATTATTATTATTATTAAAAGCAAGGCAAGCTACAGGTAATTTATAATGCGATTACTGTTATAATTTGTATGAAGCTTGACACATTTAAAATTGAGGACTTACTTGTATTATTATTATTTTATTAGAAAGAATGCAGTAAAAGTTTTCTTTTCTTTGCAGCTGACTGCGAGCAAAAAGAAGCGTTACCTTTGGTCGATTTAAGAAAAATTATAGTTGGGGAGCGTGAATTGGGTGGCAAACCTCAGGCTTTAGCATGGGATCCTAAAGGCTTATTTCTGGCGATCACCTTTCAAGATACAGATTGTATTGCTATCTTTTCAACGACCATACAAAAATATGATCTTACTGTGTCACCGTCATCTTTCCTGGCCGGTCTTGGTAAAGAATATCCCAGTTATATATGCTTTCAAAGCGAGAGTCATAAAAGTTCAAATTGTATGTTAACTGTCGGTTGGTCTAGTGGCCGCATACAGTACGTTCCATTGATGAATTTATAAAGAAGCTCAAAATATTTCAAGGTACATGATGATGATTGTTTTATTATAATTTTTGTTATAAATAAAGAATTTTTTTTTTTTTTTTAATACAACTCTGTAAGTAGTAGCAGAAGTGATTAGGAAAACAAAGAATAACCGAAAAATACATTGTCTAAGAATTTAATTATAATAAATTTATTTTAAGAAAAAGACTTAAAACAAGATTTCTTTTGTATCCTAACTAAAAATTCAGAGTGTTTATTGATTTAATGGCTACATATGCACTCTATGTTTTAAAATTAGAGAAAATAAGCTTCCATCACACTTATCGATTAACATACAAGCTGGGCATACTGACTATATGGAATTTAGTGCGTTATCTATATGTCACCGAAGAAATAGCCCAATGCAGTAGCGGCCTTAACACGCACATAATGATTTTCATCTTTAAGCAATAAGACAATACTATTGCCTACCCCTTCGGTTTGAGGACTACGTTCCATTAGGAAGTTATTTAAAATACCTGTAAGAGAAAATAGTTTAAAGGCATTTTTAAATAGAAACTTATTTATTTATTTTTGAAAGGCGCAAAAATGAATTTCATTTGATGTAAAGATAATATGAAGAAGAGCACTTCAATGGCCAGACGACATTACAAATCTTATTATCGGCCTTTATGCATTTATACTACACATCTCAAAAAGGCAATTACTGAACATATTTATAATTTAATATCTGTATTCAAAACTATGTTAAAACGTGATAATCAGGCTAAACCGTCTAATAAATACTCTACATAGTGCCGACTAATGCAATGCTTTACCTAAATTTGCCAATATAAAGACTCATTTAATGAAAGGTCGTTTACATGAAGAGGACGTTTAAACAATGCTTCTGTTCTGTTCTATCGAAATTTTCGAAATTTATTGAATATATCTAAATACTATTTTCCGGCGGTTTATGCCGGGGAATATTAAAATGTGCAAACGTTTTTGTCATATAATGGCTCTTTTTAGAAGACGCATCCTAAATGGATCATCATGTTTAGTGTAAAGCAGAGACGAGAGGTATATATAGAAAAGGTGTCCAATTTTTTTCTCGAGAACATCTCTTTATACATTTCTAATAGAAAGTATGTGATTGTGAGCACATTTAACTTGTGCTCGCTCAACTCGTTTCTAGATTTTTAGTGTAGATTTTTTTCTAAAATAATACTCCGGGTGTGACGTGAAATTGTGTCGCGAACAATTTATTTTTCAGCATAGAAAGGAAAATTTTCTCCGCGTACTTGATTGGGTTTTTCAATAGAGATAATCCTTCATTTGCACTTTTCGTGACATCTTGAGAAAGAAATTGCGTGCGTAAATAAATGAGTGTGAGTAATGAGCGTATTATACATAATATCCATAAGCAAGCAATTCTCTATTTTCGTTAATTGTGAGGTATCTGCGAATAAATGAAGCGAATAAAAAAAAATTCTTACCTATAACAACAGCTGCGCTGCCTCGTACTTCAGGCCATAAGCTGCGTAAATTCGGTAGACAAGAATTAATGAAATCTTGTATATGATCAGTCAGTTCCATAGCCTTAAAAAAATTCGTAAAAAATATATATATATTTTTTTTTTCTTAATTCTTACGTTTAGAGAACTTACAATTAATTTAACAAATTCTACGATGAAAATGTTATAATTCAACTGGCCATGATCGATTAAATCACGTTCAGCCATTTCATGGATCTTAAACGAATTTAAAAGTCTACATACTTTACGTAGGGTTGTCTTACACGCCTATAAAATAAAATGTTAACAAAACAAAATATTTAAAAGAATGAATATCTTATAAATGCAAAGCAGGAACTTACCCGAACAATGGTAGGTTCATTTTCACCTAAATGCAACAATAATGGAAATAGATTAGCAAGCAGTTGTTCATGGAGAGCTTCATTAATTGAATTTGGTGTTACGATGCCATTATTTGTAGAAATTTTTGATTCGCATAAATCGCCAAAAAGTACGATAGCGGCTTCTCTAATCTCCACAGAATAACTACTGAAAAATGGTCTTATACGTATAGCCAAAGATACGTGAAAAGATTCCACACTTTCAGAAGGTAAAGCTTGTAGTAAAAGTGACAAGCCACGTATGCTTTCTAGTGGAATGTTAATTAAACAATCGCTGAAAGTTTTGAAAAAGAAAAAAGAATATTGTATATGACTTGCTTTCCACTTAATAACTTTAATCTTACTTAACGGTGTCATCTAGGCCCTTCAATAATGCTGTTACTGCTGTTTCGGTATACTTTTCTATATCTTCTTCGACCAACTGACCCACATAACCCATACCCTGTATACTTAAACCTCTAACAACCGCCTTGGGATCGCTGAGAGCGGCTGACAAATGATGCATTATAATTGTGGATATCTCTCCACACGGATTGAAAGGTACTAGACGTGAATATAAACCAATTGCTGCGACCCTTTGACCTTCGAACGGCGACGATACATATTTACTTAAAGCCTTGATCACTTGTTTCATCGTATTCGAATGTATATCCACTTGATTAGCGAGACCTTTAGCTATAGGTGTTAGAAGTTCTATATAATTTTTCAAATCAGTGCTAGATGATAAATGTTTATGGATGGTGAGTGCTTCAAAAATTTGTTCCATTTCTAAGTTATTTAAAAACGATTGAAACGTTTCCAAAACAATTTGACAAGGATTCATTTTCACTGTCTCCTTATTGGGTATAAAACCAAATTTTGTTTTACTAGTAGTAGACGAAGATCCCGCAGCAGATGACGTACTGCATATATTACCGCTATGCATAGGCGCGGCCAAATTTGTATACGTAGCCAATGATGTTAATAACATAGTAAACAGTTCGGGAAATTTCGAATTTAATTCCTACAAGTGCGAACGAATAAATTAAATTTCAATAAATTTGCTACAAATTTTTTTTCTGTATTTACTGCTTCACCTCTCTGATATCGTTGCGTGGCATCATTTTATGCAGAGCACAGAATATAGCAAATGACGGAACATTAGCTATTTTTTGCCTTTCCACTGGCGCTTCATTGATTTCGTATGGGCTCGAGGACGATAATACTTGCAAGAAATTATCTAATAGTATGCCGGTTAAATCGCTATCCTTGCAAATCAAATGCCAATATTCTATAATATTTCTGTGTTGTTGTTGTTGCGGGCCGAAAAGATGAAGAAAGAAATAAATAATAAAAAAAATGCGAAATTATTTTAAAAAATATTCCCCATACTCCTCAAAAGGTAATTGTTGGGCCAAAATTTCACAAGATACCAATTTCGGATGATGTTTGGTTAGAGCTACCAAAGCCTTTAAGACTCCCAATTTGGCTCGACTCACGTCGCAGTTGTTTATCGCCTTAAAATAGATCAAGCATAATCGGGTATATATGTTCTTTGAACTGATTGCTCTCAGCTGTGACACTTACTGTTAAACTTTCTTTAACTAAATCGGTTACAGCATGGAAGAGCTCGGAACCTTTTTGTTGTATAAAAAATTTCAAAACCACGGAAGCCCCTATTGCCGAACTTTCTTCAGGATCTTTCAGACCTTCAAGAAGAGTTTTGCTAAAATCATTTACATAAATTTTCTTAAAAATCTCATTTTCGCCTATGGCCGGATCATACTATATATATATATATAGATTTACTTACCAAAATTGTAAATACTGGAAGTTTGAAATGCGTACAGCAATAATATTAGCAATTTCACCGGCCAAATTATCAATTTCCTTGGGATCGTCGGTAAGAATTCGTTCTTTAATAATTTCGATTTCTTTAAGCCAATCTGCCGTACTGTCGGCTATCGTAAGTGTCTCATATATACAAGCGATTTCCAATGTTCTTTGCAATATTTCAACAGATACTTGGCGTACGGTGCCGTTCGAATCTATGCAACGGGGTACAATTTTCGCCAACATTTGTCCAGTTTGATTAAATTTTGATGGAGCTTCGCCACCAATTTTCATTGTCTTAATGTAAACGTTTAAAGTATTGTTAAAGACATGGCTTGCACATATACGAACTTCGGAGTTTTTATCTCGTGTCCAACATTCCAATATGGTAATAATTAAGTCTAGAGTAGAAGGTGACGGATCCATTTCAATAATGACTTTAACAAGAGCGTTCAACTCTGGCAACGATTCATTAAGATATTTCGCCAGAAAGCTGTTACGTTCATCTTCTTCAGGAGATTCAAATTTCATTTTTAAATTTTGAGCGCAAGTAAAAAAATTTTTACAAGCTATTTCGAAGATGACACCTCCATCTATTGTCTCGCTTGATTCCTCATCGCCAATGCATATGAAATCGGTGCCTAATTTCAAAATGATCGGTAGCAAGGGCAAGTCATCAAACGGCGGCTCAATTGGTATATTAAAGACAGCTTCCATTATTTGCTTACGATACTTTAAAGAAGTTTTCACATTCCCTTTGGCCCTAATCAATTGATTGCAGATGCTGCAAAGCGTTTTCAAAATTGCCGACATTACAATCTGATCTTTCGTATTCGATAATTGCAATATTAGGAAATTTAAAATTGTATCATCCAGATTTGTTATCGTTTGCTGTGGATCTGCCTCGTCCATAATGCGTCCGAACACTTTAATAACCAAAAGATTGGTTTTATAATTCTCCAATTCTTTGTGTGTGTCTTTAATAAAATGCAAGTTACTGAAAAATCCAGTAGAATGCTTTCGTCCACCTATATGGGCTAACTCAACTAATTTCTTGACTAACAAATGCATATGAACGCGTGACACATACCCCAAGGCCAATGTGCACGGTACAATTTTATCATCATATTCGGAATGCTTAGTATGCTTATCGAGTTTCTCTTGCCTGGCAGCGGTTATGATTAAGTCAATCTTCGCACTGACTAATTGCGAGTCCTTGACATGACATAAAGTTAATGCTAAAGACTTTAACAGCATACCCCTCTCATTGTGCAGTTGTGGTATAACGAATTCACTGTTCGGCAACGTTAAAGGATACATGATCATTTGTTCGGCCATTTTATTGACTAATCTTTCGGCAAATTGTTGATCATACCCTGAGAGGAATTCGTTCGTTTCTTTAATGAATTCTAAATATTTAGTGAAAAATAAACTTTCCTTATTTATGCTCAATAATAGATCCGATGCACTTTTCTCCCATAATTTACATAATTCAGGATTTAAGTGCGGATAGTAAAATCTTAGAAACGAAATTATATTTGTCGAGCGCGTGATGCAATGATAATTGCCAAGCAAAGCCAAACAACGGGCATATATTGTTTCGGCACTAGGTACAATTATTTTTCCGCTTCTAACAATCGAAACAGGTGGCTTCGTCGATGCGTCCTCCGCTATATCTTCTTTTTTATCTTTGTCTTGTTGTTCGTCCTCGTGATAAACCTCAAACTCTATATTAGGCGACTTTGAGAATAAATTCGCCAAACATTTTGATAAATTTGAACAGATATCCGTATAATCTAATAGAACAAAGTAATTAAGTAATTCTCTTTTAAGCAATTCATCCATAGTGCCCACGGTGGAGGATAACATAAACAATGAATTTTCGCACGAGAGTACAAAATTTGCATGCTCTTCCAATGTGCCATGATCTTGATTCACTTTATTATATTTACAACTGTAGCGAACTATAAACCATACGAATTCTTTCTCTTTGATAAACGATTTCTGCGCTAGTGCCACAATTGTCTTAAGCAATGTCATCTTCATTTTCACACTCTTCTCGACAGTGATCATTTGCTTGAGGCACTCCAAAAACGATTGCAATTTATTTTCAATATTCACTGTCGATGTATTTAGAAGATGTGTCAATATTAGCAATGATTTAATCCTTTCACGTTCACTATTATTTCTTAAATGCATTAATAGGGTATCCATGATTTTGATCGCGTATACGCCGGATAGTAAATCGAAGCATCTTAATACCTCGTAGTGACCTTTAACTGTTTGCGGTTTCTCATAATCGGGATATACGCAAACTAAATCGAACAAATTTGTAATTAGCTGATCGATAACTCCGTCGAGCACGGTTGGCTGTAAATTGATATTGGTCTTTAAGACCGCGGAAAGGAATTGTGTTACCGAATTGCGTTCGATCGAGCGACGATAGAGATTTAATATATGAGGTACGAGACGCGGCGATTGATCCTTTACTTTGTCAGCCGGCAGCAGAGGGAACATGCACGACAGAGCCTGTAAGATTTCGACGCAAACCTTTGGCTCTCGAGAATGCAACCATTGATTAAAGAGTACATCGTAAGCTATCGAAATTTCTGTAGAGCAATTCAATAACTCTTCCACCTCGGCGGCAGTGGGGGATATCATTTCTTCATTATCATTCGATTTTTGGGTTGCCGCTAACGCGGCGTTGGCCGACGATTGTTCCAAAAGTGCTTCACTAAAGCGGCCTATGGCTGTTAGAGAAAATCTTTAAAATTTTAATAAAACTGATCTTTAATCGCGCCCCCTACCATAAGCATGCGCCTGTTTAATATGATCCAATTTGATGCCAGTCAAATTTGGTATTGTGAAGGCCATAATGGGCTTAATGAATGGCACGACTCCTACTATATTACTAGAAGCTATATTGCCATAGCATTGCATAATCATAAAATGTGCTACCGTTCCTTCCTTCGTGTAATTCATTAAAGCCTCCATCACCAATTTGCAATTGGCGCCTCGACCTATCGCTACCAATATATCCATTGCATGATTTTGAATAGCGGATACATTATCAGTTGAACGTGTCATTTCTCCCAATGCCAATGATATCAATTTCTTATGAGCTTCATCCGGTATACACGCATCCGAACTGACCACTTTTTCTATCGCTCTAAATGAGTAATGCAAGATTTTTTATGAAGTTTGCGCTAATAGCGAAAATAGAAATCTATGCCGCTTACCTAAGTACAATGATGATAGTTTGTTCGGGCAATTTTGAATGCTCTTCCTTATATTTCATGATGATATTAGTTGCTCTTAAAGGATGAGTTTCCATTATTTTCACTAAAGCGTTTTGTATTGCGGACCGCACAGTTTCATCTTTATCGGTTAACCCATTACAAAGATTGTGCAAAACACCTGTAAACGAAAAATAAATATGTTTGTATGCGTACCATGCCCATAAATATTGAAAGATCAATGAATGAAAAAAATAATAATTTTTTTTCTATGAATTGATTGATTGATAACTCGTCTATAACTCGCGGATAACTTTCTTATCGCGCCTCGTCAATTGTATTCTATTAAGTGTTTGCAAAAATTTTGATTAACGATAAAAATGATAAAGACAAGAGGAATTACCCATGTACATAACAGTCCAATTCGATTGTTTCGATCTTCCCCTAGATAAAATAACCCTTGTCCATTTAATATTATTGATTTAGTCAGCATATGGCGATCGCAGTCGTTGTGTGCTCAAAATTCTTCTTCTTTCAAATTCATTACTTTTGTTGTTTATTTGAAGAAATCTGATGCCGAAGCCCACGAAACACGTTCAGAGGCTTATGGTGAGACTGATCCATTCTCAATAAATGCGCGTTTCTAGCGTAACGATTTTGTAACAATTGAAAAGTCATAGAAGAAGAGAGAGTATCGGTATTCCGCATAATATTCAAAATTAATTTCCAAATCCTTAATAGGTGGGAAGGAGGAAAAGCGAGAACACCGAATGATTTACGACAATCTAATGAAATTTATTTTGATGGTAAGCACATCGGCTGTAGGACGATCTTGGGAATCGAAATTTTTGTTTTGTTTTTCACGGCGAACGAACTCGACTTGAAAATTATAGCGACTTCCATTTCAAAAAAGAATAATCGGTTTCGAAAAAATGAAAACTTTTGAGAAAGAAAGACGGAGTCTTCAAATTTTTAATGTTTTCTTAGATCAACACAGATCTAACATTGTCGATATTCAATTTTCCCTCTTTTCGTCTTATTATTATCATCATTCGGTCACACAATCCGATGAATTGTGCCATTAACTGACACATAATCTCATATGTTGGATAAAAGAAAGGGGCGATCCAGTGTCCCCAAGAGCTTACATAAACTGCCTACTACTAGACTTTCAATATTTGTGGACATATGGTAGTTTTATCAAATAGCTTAGCCAGAAAGAAGAAAGAGTTCCAACTTTTCTCATAACTTAACAGATGTCTTTGAAAAGGCTTTATACTCGTTAGGAGTAAAGAAATCAAAAATCTTTTCTATCATAAATTTTTTTTTGGGGTTTTCTTTGTCGCTTCGGAACATGAAAATTTCCACCTTTGACGGGGACAACAAATGGACCAAGCTCTAGTGTAAAATTGAAGAGCAAGAAGACTGACAAAGAATATGCGATCATGGAAGGGAATTTTCTTTTTATGTTCCTGATCCTAAAAATAAGAAAAACAAGTACATTTTCATATTCCATAATAGTGGGTGTGGCGCGTGGTTGGCTGATTTTTTTCTATTTTCAGAATAAAATCGGAAATTTTATAAATAGTGTGTGTGTTGTGCCTTATGAATAGCAAGCAAGGCAGAATCACGGATAACAAAAGAGTACACTGTTTTTGTTCCATACGCGTGTGGGCGTATTTTAGGCGTTTTCTATGAAAAGTTTCGGTCATTTTTAAATTCTTTGCCGACTTGTAAGTGATATCTTCATTTTTGCGAACGGGAGAAGTTGTGCTGACGGACAGATGGACATGCTTAGGTGCATTTCGAATTCGAAACTGGCCGAATTTCATATGTCGTGCGGAGTTTTCGACGGTTGCTTCAGCTTGTGAAATTATGACACATTAGAAGATTAAGTAGGCATGGTCAATCATCTATCTACATTTATCTGCTATCTATCTGTTGATGAGTAATGATGAATAAATCAATTTTTATTCGTTTCGAAAAGCAAAGGTATTTTCAGTTTACATGGTACATGTGGCCGTGTCCTTCAACCAATTTGGCCCATTTTCAATGCCAAGCTGCGCGCCAGAGCTTCCAATGTTTTTGTTAAATTTGATGTCGGCGACTGCAGTTTTACACGTACGAAAATGTCTATCACAGAGATTGCACAGATGAATAGACAGAAAGATGGACAGACGGACATACTTAAATCGATTTAGAGCTTAATACCGATCAAGAATATATACGATTTAAGAGGTTTTCTGAAGCTTATTTCTGGGTGTTGCACACACATTTTGATGCAATGAACATAGCCTTCATGCCTGATGAGCGATGGGTATGATAAACAAAAAACAAAAAAAAAAACTTACTTCTTGATTTCCTGGCAGTGTAACCCCTGAAAAAATAGTTACTCATCGAATGGATCATATTTGAAATTGTCAAACAAAAATACACACACGTATGTGTGCGTGTGAGTGTAATTTTACTGTAAGAACTTTACAACTTGTTGTTAAAATTAATTTTGTATTTCAGCTTTTTGTGAGTCGAGCAAAAAAAACAACTTATAATATATATGTATAGATCTAATATGCTTTAAGCAATTAGAGGTCTAGGTGGTCAGTGATTCTGCGACTTGGGTAAAGAGGCATCGTTTTATTGATTTAAGAAACGCTTTTCAAATGTACATATATACATACATTATATGAAATTCATGGCTATTCTAAAAATTATCCTAATGAATTTCACCGCACGCTACGAAGATATCAATTTTCTTTTTCACATTTTAATGTAATTTCGATTTCAATCATAAATTTTCCCAGTCAGTACTTTGTGATACATGGCAACAAGTTGCAACTATAAGTGAGCATAAGAAATTATTTGTTTGTTTGTTTGTTTTTTTTTTTTTAATTTTTTTTTTTTTTTTTAAATTATTATTTTATAAGAGAGTAAGTAAGCATGCAATTAAGTTACCGTTAGTTGGTGATAATATGTAAAAAGTTTTCGTTTTAAAGAAACTTTTCGTTTTACGCGACGATTTCTTTTTGAACTTTTTCTTAATAAATTCAAACATTTTTCATAAATTTTCATAAATTTACGACAATTACTTTTTATTGCATTACTTTGTGTATTGCATTTTACAAGAGTTTTATTACTCAACTGTAATTGCTTGATGAAATCGCAGCAGCGAAAACCGCAGCTAACACTGCACACTTAATCGTATCAATGCAAGTATAATGAACCTATGAGTCATAACTACGTGAGTTATTATATATTGAAAATGTATTTTCATTTTCTTTAATTGTAAATATCTCGCTCACACATATATATATATATATTTAGAACATATAGTCGGACAAGGCCGACCACCATTAAATGCCTTACACCCCATTGTCCAATAACACAAATTCTATTTATTTTATTATCGAATACGAAAATTACATCTTATTTCTCATATAAAGGCAGATTTTTCATGTGCGTAGTTCTAGGGAAGCGAGTCCAAAACGCAGGGCAGTATGTAAACATAACGGCGATTGTCCAAATTTTTACAGTTCAATTTTATATGAAATTATTATAATATTATGGGTCAATTTCCAAACCTCACTTGTTAAAATTTAGACTTTTCTGCTCTACAATTTTCATCAAAATCCTTATTACGCACGCTGGTGGCATGCAAAAAATAAGTCAAGATAATCCACATTCGATACATTTACCTTTTTTATATTAAGTTACTATTATGAAGCATTGAAAACTATAACTGTTTGCCGCAGGAACTTTAGTTATCGTGATATTGAGAGGAGGGGGATTCAAAAATTGCCCCGCCCGGTCAAATTTAGAATGCCAATATACTATTACTTAAGCACTTTTGCCAAGAATTTTTGAAAAATTTGCAATTTCTTTTCAGAATAGGGCGTTATGTGGGGAGTTGTCGAAAAATTTAATCGATCCAAATCATTTTTAATATCGTTCGTCGTTGAACGAGAACACGTGACTGTGCCAAATTTTATGAAAATATCTCAAAAATTACGACCTGTAGCCTGAACATAAATTTATTTGAACGGACATCAGCCGGACAAACGGACAGACAGGTTTTGGATCAATTCAAATAATGCTACCGAATCGATCGGTATAATAAAAAGTGAATCCATCTTAAGTTCTTCTGCATGTTACATACAGACCTAAAAACTAAATGAATATACGCCACACCACAACTAGTGTAGGGTATAACATTTTTGTTATCATATTTGTGTTAAGTTGAAAAATACAATCGTATTGTTATCAATTTTGTAATGAGGTAAATTTTTTAATTTTTATCAATAGCATGATTATGCTGGAGTTTAAAAAAAAAAAAAAAAAAAACGATTTTTTAATCAAATCAAATCAAAAAAAGTTAAAGTTTAATTGAATTAAAATTTTTTTAATTCAGAATCATCGAAGTCATAGAAGTGCTTCGCGAGAGAGTACATTATTTTTGTTACTTCACGCTGTGTGCACTTTTTGAGATGCAATCAGCAGAAATCAAGATTCTGGAAATGGTGATGGATAGATGTCGCAGCATTTAGTTCGGACTAAATAAAATCTTTTTCTGCGGTCTATAAATATGTATAGAGATAAAAGAAGACAGGAAGAATATACGCGACTCGTATGTAATTATGTACATTGTAAAAATACTTTTCTGCTCAAAACAAGTAAGAACGTTGCAGTAGGTCGCGATCGACGATTACACACCGTACACCACCCTACAGTTTTTCATCTAATTATTATTTTCAAAATAAGGCATCATATGTGAAGTGGTTGAAAAGTGCGCTCCGATCCGTGCCATTTTCAACAACGTTTATTCTTAGGCCGAAACACGTCGAACGACGAAATTGCAAAAATTGCATTTTAAACATTGAACGATAAACAAATTCAGAAAGTTTCAGATAGGCATAATAAAACTCTTCCTGGATGTTGCATACATCTGCACAAACTTAATATACCCTTAAAAATTGTATATATATATATATATATATATTTAGAAGTCACCTATATATATATATATATATATTTAGAAGTCACCTATATATATATATATACTGGTGTGCGAAATTTCGGCACAATATCTAGAACCTTGCGACTTGTAAATTGAGTGCAAGAAGACAAGACGGACGGACAAGCTTAAATCGATTCAAATTCACTTTCTGAATTGATTGGTGTAATGAA